TGTCACTAAAAATCATTTTTCTTGTAGTGATTTTATTGTAAAAAAAAAAAAAAAAAACAGTTTCCTTGTAGTGATTGTTGTTATTTAAATTCAAATGATAATTGTTACGGAAACAAAAACATTGATCTTTGACAAATAATTAAAAATATTTAAAGAACTTGAAATTCTTTCATCAAATTCCATCTCAAAGATAATTTCAGCCAAACACAAATTAAAGTATATATCTAAAAACACAAAATTAACTATAATAATATTCGCATGTAAATTATCGTGAAATGCTTATTATATTTATATGATAAGGATTTTTGGGATCCATTAATTTTAATTACAGCCTCCACATTTAACACGGACAAAAATACAGGAATTAAAGGAAAAAAACCAAGAACAAATATTGCTTCATTTTATTATTGTACTTGCGATGAAGGTCACTACTTAAGTAAAGAGTTCAATAATTAGAACCTTGTGAGAAATTGCATTTGCCTGAGAAGAGGAGTTAGGGTTTCCATCAGCTTCTCACAAGGATGATTATGAATGCCTTCGTATGTCGTCACAACGATCCCTGTGTCCTTTGAGAGCCTCTGAATTTGTTTCTTCACGTTGCATGTATGATGCGTGCACCGGTAGTAGCTCCTTCATTGATGCAATATACATGTTTCAAAAAATAAAAATAAAAAATCAACATACTGTTCTATTCATACCCATGGGATGCAAAAAAGAAAAAAAGAAATAGGGTTTTCAATCTATGGCACACCTGGGGTAACTGCTATTCTTCACAGCTTTCTGTCCATATTTTCTCCACCTATAGCCATCGTCAAGGATATCATCAGCACTTCTCGTCTGGAACGCAAACCTAGGTCGAGTTGTCTTCTTCATCTTGCTACTTTTCCTCTTGTCCTTGTCTCCTTTTTCTTCCTCACCTCCATTTTTAGAAACCAAAGAAGCAGCTTCCATCAATGGCGCTACCTTGTTGTCAGTGCTGAGCCCACCTTGGGCTGAGAGAAGCCCAATCCAATCAATCTCCGGAAGCAGCTGAGGTTCCAATGAAGGCTGTAGAGAGGTGGAAGGAAGTGAGGGGGAAAAAAGTCCATAGGGAGTAGGGTTAAGCGGTGGCAGTAACGGTTGAAGGGGAGCAGGACGTTCTTGGCCGTCCATGTGGAGAGGCTCCATTGAGAGAGGAGAACTGAGAATGAATTAGAAATGGGAGATTTAAAGGGGTCAAGGGAAGGGGTGGAAGGTGGAAGGTGAAAAGAGGTTGGACAGACCCACAAGAGATTATCTAGAGAGAAAAAATAAATAATAATAAGAGTTTTAGAAAGGAAATCACATATACGTATGAATTTTCCATGTCTTGGAGGCATGGTGAAGCCAACTACATCCACCTACTTCTGTTCAACTGCCCTTCAAGTAGAAGGAAACGTGCCCGCTCAACATCCATCCTAATCACCAATGCATCATCCATATTATTTGCATACGATGGTTTTTGTTTTTTTTTTTTTCTGTTTTAGAAAATGATCAATACGAATTATTATATTAAAGAAAGTAAAGACATTACAATGAAATTTCTATCTCTTTATAGTATATTTGGTTTAATATGAGGAAATGAGAATGAATTTTTTAATTAATTAAATTATAATATTTTTAAATATTATAATATGATTAATTAAAAAATTCATTTATCTTAAATCAAATATACTATAAGAAGTATTTTAACGCATCTGGACCTCACGGCCCAACGGCTATAGGTCGACTTATAAGGTGAATCTCTCAACCCGAGACTTGAGGTTCAATTCCCCCACCCCAAATTTGTAACCCTGTTTAAAAAAAAAAAAAAAAAGAAGTATTTTAACAAACTATCCTTCTCATCTACTATAGCTAATAACATCACTAGAATATAAAATAGCTCAAATAACACAAAAAAAAAAAAAAAAAAAAAAAAAAAAAAAAAAAAAAAA